AAAGTCCTTAATAATTGCGCTTTCTGACTAGTTGAAATTTTTTAGTTCCCGGTGGTATTTTCGGTTAGCTTTTCATTCGTGTTCCTTTCTATTGTCTACCAGTCGGCAGTCATATAGCGCACGCGAATTTTGAAATTTATGATAAGAAAATGGCGCCCCTAAATACTCAGCGCCCTGCGCCGCGACACAGGCTACACAGCCTTGGAACCGGCCCTGAGTATAAGCATTTTCAGAGATAATACTGAATTTCATTTCGGAAGCATTTCAAAATATACGCAACAAAAAATCTCACTGGACATATTTTGAATGAAGCAAATATGAAGTGAGTTTTAAGCAGAGTCGAGTGGCACTTAAAGACAAAGAAAAGATGAAAGAAAATGCCGAAAGAATTATCTGATGTTTTTATGGAAGGAAATTTTGCATTCAAAGAATATCTTCCTTATTATTTTCCACGTAAGTTTCGTATGTCGTATCTGTTAAATATTGTGTTAATATATATATTTTTTGTATTTAACGATCTGCTTCATTTATTTTGTAAATAACTAGTGTTTCCTGTACTTCTACCTACACTTGTATTTAATGATTTCCATCACTTTCGAGTTATGAACTTATGCAGAAAGTATTATTGTAAAGTTTAAACAAGCAGGTACAGATAGAAACTAGGCCAGCACCTCTGTAGTACCTACAGCTGATAGCTAATTGAAATTGACTTCCTTGAATACAGATTATACTAATTTTTAATGCATCTATTGATTTTTTTTTTTTTTTTTTTTTTTTTTTTTTTTAAAGAACAGCTAAGTGTTTTTTCTTAACCTCTCCCTTCAGAAATGGCGGACAAATATTCCCTCTCGATTTTCAAAAGGAAAAATTAGTAAACAGTTGGAGGGGGGGCGAATATGCGAATATGGTCTCTGAACTTTAATTCGTATTACAATACTCACTAAAACATTCATTAAATGTTAAATATGAATTTTATGCTCCCTTTTTTGGGCTCCCAATATTTTTTGTTACGCAAAAGTACTTTTACTATCGTTTATTTGCATCCGATTAATTTTAAATTCAGTAAAAGGTTAATATGATTTGAACGAACTAAATTCTAAACAATAGTTTATAACATTCTTAGCTTTGCCAGCAAAGCCAAGAATGTTATAAACAAGCAAGCATTCTTGGGTATTCTAACTTTAAAACCCATGTCATATAAGATGCATTAGTTCATTATAGCTAAGAAGGGATGAGTATATAAATTCTAGAATTATTCATTTACAAAATCAATGACCATTCTCCGCTTAAAGCCAGCAGACTGCACGACTGACTAACCCTTCCTCCCCTCCCTCTCGTTTCTTTATTTCGCTTCAAGAAACTTTCGTAAGAAATAAAATTATTCGCAGCGATCTCAAATGAAACAAACCAGAATATCCCACAAAACCACAAAATTCACACAAATAATTTTGATTTTAACTTCACAGAAGTGATAAAAAAGTGGGCTATGAATTAAAATCCTGAAGTTCATGCGATGCGATTGCACCATTAATGCAGTATCGCGCTTTTGATCTTGTTGAACTTATGCATTGCCATTAATGATATCCCTCAAATAAGTAGCTATTGGATATTTCCGTCCTTGTCTGCTTCTTGCCGACTAAATAGGCTTGCTATACGATGGTTACTCCTCTATAACATAAATACCAGCAAGTCTCCCTCAGAAAGTTCTCTACAAAAAAGCCCTATTTCCCGAAGTACACATCTATTATGCTTTGCCATAATAAGAAATAATCATAACAAAGTTCAATCCATAACGTGAGACATTCTGATTTAAACACATAGATTAGTTCGTCTTAGACTGGAGACACAACAGAAAACCGGATTAGTTAGAGTACGAAAAAGCACTTAAGTACTATCTAAGGGAAGGAATGTTTTGTGGAGAAGTTGCCAGGGGAAACGTATTCACGTTACACATTGGGAAAACCTCGCAGTCAGTCTGTTGTCCTTGGATTTGGAAACAGATCGAACTATCAGTATTCTGCCATTTTATTGTCCGGGCTCACTCAAGCAACCGCCCCATCAGCGGCCGGGCGGTAAAGGTCGCCGAATACTGGTAGTTCAGTCCGAGGTTCGAATCCCGCGAACAAACCGGGTTGGCTGCAAGGACGCTTTCGTGGTTTTCCCTACGGGCCAGGTTCCCTTAGAAAGTTCTCCACGAAGGCATTCCTCCCTTTAGGCAGATAGCCCTCGAGTGCTTTGCCATACTCAAATAAACCAAACCTCTTAGGCTCCCAGTAGAAGGGAATTGGCTGTGTAAGTGTTTATAGTCTATCAAGGTTCCACAATATACTCGTACAATAAATATGAGTCAATTTTTCTGCTGAGAATTTTTTATAAAAGCACCCTTTACAAGATATACAACGTATATGGCCAGTCTATCTACCTTACAATTCATCTCGTAATTTGTTCATTAAAGTCAAAAACAAGATACTGCATTGTATCATAGAATATACAATGAATGGCTGTTGAAACAAAGGCTAGATTTATTCCCTTTTTCTCTTTACCGGATAATTTTAACAGTCTCGGTAATTTATTTTTACGCTTGCTTCGAAATATTTTAAAAAGAAATTTACTACAACATTATAACTCCTTCATAAACTCATCGTCAAAGTTTTCTATAAACTGCTTATATTGATTCTGAATGCAAATACCTAATTTTATTTTCTCATGACTTATGAAACATTTTATATCAAAACTTAGGAAAATATTTTCTGTAAGACATTTCATCGGTCATAAGAAACTGGGAAAAATGATTTCTTACGCAGAGTAACACCACAATACACCATATTCAAGATGCATTATATTATTATTTTTACTTAAAACTGGCTCAAAGTTAAATGCAAAGTAAATTTCAGAGGGGAGGAAAAACAACGACGATTTTTCGAAAACTTTCTTTTTCCTGTTTCGATCTCAAAATATCTTCGCATGTACTTCGTTATTTCTATTTATTTATTTTTTAAAAAGCTAATAATTAAATTTTAAGTGAATTTTGCATACGTTGTTTGTTCACAATCATTTTTTAATATAAATTTTCCTTTAAATCTGATGACACTCTTCGGCAGTTTTTGATTATTTCATCCGCCCACCAATAGCCAAGCGGGTAAGACCGCTGAGCATCGGTAATTCGGCCCGGCTACAAATCTTGGCGAACCGACTTTGGCTGCATAGGTATTTTCATAGTTATCCCCATGTTTGAAGTTTACCAATTTATCATTACGAACCAGTTTCCTTCAGAAATTCTCCACGAAAACATATGTCCTCTAAGGGGATAGTTGAGTGATTTGCATTAAAGGGGTTAATCTCTCCTAACCTTGTTAATTTCATCGACATGTTTTCCCCGCCGTGAGTAAAAAAATATCGGGAACTTCTCTAATAATGAAATGCAGATACTTTTCATAAATATAAAATAGTATTAGGCAGTATATATGTTCTGTTTTTCATATGAAAATAAAATGCTTCTGCACGTGCCCATATTAACTTATGATTATCAAATATAACCACATTCAAACACTGAGAGATGAAAATGTCATAAATAGGTGTTTTTGCATAATTAAATCATACACGACTTTCCGTATTAAAATATAACTGTAGATATAAATGTCATATTACAAAGAAAGAAACTCTACCTTCAGTTCGCACATATAAAAAAGGTTTAGAGATTTTATTCCAAAGAAATAAGAATGGTTTCCACTGTTCGCTAAATTCACTAAATCAAAATATCTAAAAAAGTTAATTTGCACTTTAACTCCAATAATTATTCAATGTTACTCTTTTTATAACAACTTAGCAGGTGTATCGTTATAAATATTCAACAACCGGTCAGACCAGCAGATTTTTAATGTTTTGCGGCATAATTAGTTAAGCGAAAGGCTAAAGAAAATCAGAGAAACTACATATAATTAAAAGAAAAATCTATACATATTTATGCGTAAATTTTAATGATACAAGGTAGGAGAAAGCATGCGCTGTCCAAAAAGGGATACGAACAGACGTTTCTCTAATAGTAATCATCAACATGATTTTTTTAATAATTATATGTTTATAAACAATATTTGAAAAATAAGTAAAACAGATCATTTTCATTGATAGAAATTGCATTTAATACAAATATGTAACATGAAATATTTCTAGAATGAAATACTAACTTATAGCGCTTTTAAGAACAGGAAAAAGTTGGTAATTAAAAATTTCGAACATTACTAAATTACCTCGCACTAAAGTGGCAAATTTTGACTAGCTTAGTTTGAAATATCGTCATACGTCTCATCCTCCCTGTCGTATAATCAAACGTTAAAAGAGTGACAAAAATTGGATGGCTAATGTGTTAATAATTTTTAATCTTAAACAATTTACATTAACAGACGTTATTCATCCCATTTTGGAACCCAAAACAGAATTTTGGACTCCTTGAATAGTAGTTTTAAGAATGCCCAATTTTAGAAATATCGATCATTTGAAGGTAATCATCAAAACACCTATGACGGAAAAAGTCACTGTCGGAACATATAGACAAATTTACTATGAAGAAGTTTTACTTAAATATTTCATGAACGCTAGTTTGAGATTGCAAAACAGTATAATCATTTTTGAAATGTGCTTTAATATGTGATTAATACACAGTCTTGAGAATTCTATGGCAATTTTACTTTTCAATTTGTCCCTATTGCTCTGCTCGTTGTTTCTGTTGATACTATATTTCTAAGGGTTTCTCAAGCAAAGCTCTTTCTAAAAGCAGAATTTGTCCTGGTGGCACACTACTAATTACCATTGAAGTTAACTATAGTTATAAATCAATTAATAAAATATTCCGCTCTGATCTTAATCTAAAACTGGAAACGATTTTGTACGAAATTTACTTGTGATCCAAACATTAATAAATAATTTAGATGTTACTACTTTGGGGTTGAACATCCCAAAGTTGCTAACAGTTAACTTGTTATGAACAAAAATGATGGACTTACAAGATTTGTAAGAGAAGGCTCATATTACTATACCCCAAAGATTCTTCAACTTCTGGCCTCTAAAACTAATATTAAATTCTCAATTCATTAAAAAGGCCTCTGATTTCATCTTATCCACCTGTGTTAGGACTGATGATCCTATTAAATGAAAAAAAAATTTAAAATATATATATATTCTGCTGTTTTCAGTTTAAGAAATTTTCATTCATATCTTTAATCAATTATTCATTCTTCACCAGAGTTGAGTAAATCTTTTAATCCAATTTTAAGATCCAATTTACTGATCAAATCCATATGCCTGTTGCGTAAGCAAATTCGAATCAAAACCTCTGCGATATCAGGGGTGGAAAATTTACGATGCATTTAGTCAATAAATGGTTTCGTTTATTTGATTACGATAAGGCATTTCAGGGCTACCTGCCTAAGGGAAAAGATATGCCTTCGTGGCGAGCTTTCTAAGAGAAACTGGCATGTTACACATGAGGACAACCATCAAAACCCCAATGTAGCCAGCTCGTTCGCGAGATTCGAACCTCAGATCGGACTGCCACTGTTCAGCGACTTTATAGTTCGATCGCTGGTCGGAATTTTGGACAATAATGAGCGACAACATTTTAAATAATGCAACATAATATGAGGCAAAAGATTTTAAACTTATTTGCCTAGAAGATAACTTGGAACACTATTCTTAGCAAAACAAATCCTATCTGCAAACAACTTCAAGATAAAATTATGAATATTAAAGTTACTTTAGAACCCGCTACAGAAAAATCAATATTTTTATACAAATCAGATTTAATCTAAATATACAAATCAGATTCTAATCATATCAATATGCTTCAAATTGCAAAACTGAAGGTCTAGATAGGAAATTTCAATTTCAATTTGTAGTTCAAGTCTGACGAAGGTAAAAAGACACGTCAGCTTCAATATGAACATCAAGACTGCAAACAAGATTGCAAACATCTCAGAACAAATTTAGTATGCTTTAGATATCGCATGGACATCTTTTAAATAAACGTTTTCTAAACTACTAAAACTGCACAGTGGTAACTTTAGGTTTCCTTTACAATTTAGCAGAAATCCATAAGGAAGATCTACGGAGAAAGTATAACAATTCGGAGGAAAAAATCCGAAGATCTGTGCTCTTAAAATTATTTGCAGAGGTAAAAATAAAATTTTAAATCCTTTTGACATTCTGCCGTTAATTTCATCTAACAACTTATTTTACTTACATGTCCATTTCATTGTAAATATTATTGACTTTGCCTGTTTGGCGTTGGAAGCGGTGGATGATCTTTTCCAAACTAAAATTAATTAAAGACTTAGTTACCTACGAGTATGTCACAAGAAAGATTTGTGAAATTTGCATTAATACCAGTTGAATATGTGTCGAATTAGATATTAAAGAAATAATTTTTTCATCTAAAATGTAGAAAAATAAAAATTCAGATGGAGACTGCTGTTTAATGAATTACATTTTTATACACAAATGTTTAATAACTAATTTTAAATTAATTATTTTTGATTAAAATGCAACGTAACTGTGAAAAAAAACTGATTTGTCTCTTCTAAATTATTTTTCATGATTAACAGATAATTAAAAATAAAAAAAGCTGATCTTGAAAGACGCTTTGTTTTGTAATTCGCCGGAGGGCGCTGAACACCTGATTAAAAAAAATAATTTTTTGATAAGATTCTGTATAAAATTTTTCTTAAAATGTGGATAATTTGAATACTTCAAGTTATTACATTTACATTTTTGAGATGCAGGCTATGATCAAACAAGACCAGCAGTGTTTTAATTAATGTTGTCCACGTTTCTGAACTATGAATCATACTTCGCCAAACCTCATATTCACTTAAAAATCTTTTAGATAATTTTGCTATTACATGAAAAAAGAATGATATTTACTATTATTGAGTGATAAAACTAAATCTTCACTTTTAATAAAATTAAAGTGAACTAAAAAAACTGAGTTTTGGAAATTCCCATGTTTGTTTATCTTAACTTTCAGAATCTCTCATGGAAAGGAAAAAAAAAAAAAAAAAAAAAAAAATTAAAGCTCTGGCGTTTGTTTTTGTATTAAATTTTTTAACGTAAAAAGGTATAATCAGAAAAATAGTCGAACACTGAAATACCTAAATATTAAAAACATACTATTAAAAATATCTACCATTCGAATAAAATCAAAATATACATGAATGTATGTATAATATGTTTACGTATGTCTATGTTTAATATGTTTATGTATGTATAACATATACAAAATTAGATTATTATCATTGCTCATATTATCATCATAATTTACTTGTTTACTTCTTATTTTATTTTATTTTGATTCAAATGTCACATTACCCAAAAAGTGAAATTAAGTTTTGCATTAGTTATGCTAAATTATAATGTCAAATTATGCGTATAATATTAATGGTATAAAAGACATGTTCTAAAATGTCATTAAAAAGAACAGATAAAACTACTTTTTTAAATGATTAATTTTTTGTCACACTGATGAAAAAATAATTTTTTTAACTGTATGGAAGATATTTAGGCCTCATGGATCGCCAGTAGCTTCTCATTTTTATTTGGTGTGTCATAAAAAAAGCTAATTGAAAACAATAATATCCCCTCTGCTGTGCTCTTTTTAATGAAGAATCTAAAAGATAAACGAAAATATTACTTCTGCTTTATATTTCGGATAAGACAGACAGTGCCTAACCTCTGATTAGTTACATAAATATTTATGGCGATATATCAGCGAATGTTAACACTGGCTGATTATATCAGCGAATGACAGCATTTTAAACAGCAGTACTGGTTGATTACATAAACGCACGGCAACATTTTGAGCAAAATATAAAAAGAATGGGTTTGATAAAACTGAACCGGCAAAATAAAACAATTTAATCGGTGAAAGTTTCATCGCGTTGCAGATCACAAGTCAAGAAATTACAAATAGAGATAGATATGCTTGAGATATTACTCGCTTGTTCAGCATTTTACAGAGAACAAGCGTGTGAATATATATCAGATTACATTTTTACACACATATTTCACTTAATATAATATGTGTAATATTAATTATATTAAGATAACTTGGAACACTTCTACACCCTCTCCATTTAAACGAATGCACATTTTTAATACCTGATATTTTTCTGTTTACGACATTTGATGTTCTTGAAATGCAACGTCGGAATTTTGTAAAATTGAAAGTGAGTTGAGTTTCAATTTTATGCAGTAAATATTATTAAGGTCTATAAGTTTCCAATAGCAGAAATTATTTTCATTTAAGAAGCGAACTATTGGATTGGATTGGATTATTTAATTATTTAATTATGGCAAAGCACACGAGGGCTATCTGCTTAAAGGGAGGGATGGCTTCGTGGAGGACTTTCTAAGGGGAAATTGGCTCGTATACACGTTACACAAGGGGGAAACCACGAAAACGCCCATGCAGCCAGCCCGTTCGCGGGATTCGAACCTCAAACCGAACTACCAGTGTTCAGCGTCTTTACCGCTCGGCCGCTGGTGGGCCAAGAAGCGAAATATATATGTGATTAATGGTAAACTTTTCTTCGAGGTGTTATACAGTAATCTACAATTCTTACTGAATGTTATTTTTATTTATTTACTTGTTTACTTTTCATTTTAAATTGACTTTTTGCAGAAAATAAACGGCTAAACTACTTCTAGTTAGAATTAAGCAACATAGAAATTAAAACGTTTAGACCCTTTCCATTACGAGACAGAAAGCGGCACACAGTTTTCTCAGGAAAGGTATATGCGCAAACGAAGCTTTCGTTAAATTAAATGTATTGTCCTTGTATCTAACAACAGTGCCTTTGTTTTCAAAGCAAGTACCGTCAATTAAAAGTTCTCACGCTGTTTCATTTCTTTTTTAAACCAGCTAACCCAAGGTACTGTTTTTATTTATGTTTAAGAAAAATATTACAACCGAAATGAACTGACAACGGAAGTAAATTTTCTCGTTATAGCGTATATAGTATCTTTTTAGAAAATTATTTGGTGAGTGTAATCTAATAACTAGAATTACCTAATGTAGGAAAATTAATTCAAGACTTTATGAAGAATTTATTTCAGTGTGAAGAAAGTCTCAAGATTAAGTTAATGAGACAGATCTAAAATATCTCCATTCTAATAGAAATATTACTTATTACTTCTCTTTCCTCCCTTCTTCTAAAAATTATATTTTTTTTTCTTTTTCAACTTTACAATGGTGCAGTTAAAAATCCCAGACACATCCCCAGGCATAATTAGAATTATAGGACAGTCTGCGGCCGTTTAGGAAGTCTGGTAACCGTAATTATGGCAGAGACATTGTAATAACAAATAATGTACTGGGATGTTTGGAATGTCAACGTAAAAAACCTTTTAATGCAGACAGATTAAAGTGTTATAATGCAGGGTGATTTAAAAATCTGGGAGCACTCGGCATTTTGATAATAAACGACTTCTAGCTAAGTAGCAAATTTTAAGTAAAAAAATTCAAGGATTCTCTTTTCTCTCATCGCTCATGAATACTACTTTGTCCAATCTATTTAGTAGCGATTTACATTCATATATTAGCCTTTTATATAAATATTTTTTATAATTTAGCGTAAAATTAATTTAAAATTATTACATCAAGCATTATTTGGATAAATTATAATAATTGTACATATATTCACTTTAAGACAAAAAATTTATCACCTCAATGTCAAAGAAATTCGTACTAAACAATTAAATATAAATTATGCAAGATCTAATTTTATTTGAAAATTTGTATTAAAAATAGATGGCATTTACTGGTATAAGAGATAAAAATTGCACTATAACGAGCTCAAAATTATCAGCAACGGACAACAGTCGGAACAGAAGTGGTGTTGAGGGTGAATTATTAAAATCTAAGAAAAATTTGTGCATATTTTCCTCAAATTAAAAAAATTATTTTTTGTTTTGAGGGAAATCTAACTGATTACATTTCTGAACTTCATAATGCTCAGAACAAAAAATTGTTCTTTTTTAATCTCCAAACTTACTAAAATTTGGAGAGAGTAGGTTTTACAGCATTAGAGAGGAGCCAATTTTTTTTGTTTGAAAATTTATTTTTGCCTTCATTGATGAGGCTCGTATC